CAGTTATACCACAGTGAAATCCTTCCCCTTCCAGCTCAGTCATTACCAGTCTGTGGCGATCGTCTGAGGTGGATTAGAAGTGTAATATTGGTGCTGCTTCAACTTCAATCTGTCAAACTGTGTCAGCACCTTTCATTGGATCGGCAGGCAGAAAAAAAAGAAGTATACATTGCTGATAAAGTTACTGGAAATCGGAAAAAAAATCTAACGAAACTTGGTGGAACTTCGGAAAAAACAGAAATCCACTGAAAGATTAGATCAGACACCTCAGATGCTGATGGAAACAACTCCATCTGCTGTAAACTAAAAGACTCAAGCTCTACCAGCAGCCTGGACATGTGGATGTGCACATATGTGGGGCATATGGGAAATGCTGGAGCTCAGGAATGACACTTTTCCATGAGACCTGGAAAGCTGAACGCACCTTCAGCCTCCTGCTCTGCCACACAGTCTGGATTGTGTGTGGTTTTTGCCTGTGTGTGTTCCAGTTCTTGTATAATCATCTCAACATGAGCCACAGGCTATTTCTGCTCCCACGTGTTGTCAGCTATATTATCTTACCCCCATCCTTCTCATTCACTTTCATAATGAACTCCACTCTACCATGTCATACAACACTGTCTGTTAGATTTCCCCTTTCATTTCTCTCAGCTCAGGCTGGCTGACTGAGTTTGATTTGTGAATCTTGATTGTTCCTTTGTTGTGGAAGCTTGTGGAAGATCGTTGCTGAATTTTAACTGCCTGACGCTTAGAAAAACATTTAAAAGTCTTTCTTACTTTGCAAGTTTGAGAATTTCTGCACCATTGTGACATAGCTGCCCCAAAACCCAACAACTGCCATCGACCGTTCACCCCAACCGGTAATGAGCTTTTGACATTTTTTGGTTCTCTCTTCTTGGCAGACTAGTTTAAATTCAGGCACATCTCAGATATTCGGAACATGAACAGTGTTTTAAGGTCAAATAAACATTTTGTTTTCTTTTTTATATTTTAACTTTGATTATGCTACCTTCAAAACAATATCTTGCTATTTAGAGGTGGTCTTGCTCATAATGCTTTAGATCACATTTCATCAGAGATGGGAAGTAACGAAGTACAAATACTTCATTGCTGTACTCAAGTAGATTTTTCTGATATTTTTACTTTACTTTACTACTTATTTTTATGGCGACTTTTTACTTCTACTCCTTACATTTTTACACAAATATCTGTACTTTCTACTCCTTACATTTAAAAAAATTGGCTCGTTACTTTAGTTTTGAATCAGTTCAATGGAGTTACCGTTATTATTTTTCACGTCATCAATACCAAATTCAATCTAATTGGATGGGAATCTACGTTGCATTTGACGCACCACTATAAGATGAATCGACAGATTCGGCGGTATTCATTGGCGGCAAATCATTGCAGCTTGGTGGCGGTGGCGTTAGCATAGTAGCATGGACGACGAGATGATTGAAAATGAACACAACGGAGATCTAGTCCTATTGGCAGACATCCATTTAAAATGCAGGCAACGGCATGAAAAAAGTAGTTTCTACTTTTACTTTTATACTTTAAGTAAATTTACAAGCCTGTACTTTGTTACTTTTACTTGAGTAAAGAAGTTTAATCAGTACTTCCACTTTTACCAGAGTATTTTTTAACACAAGTATCTGTACTTTTACTCAAGTACGGAAAGTGAGTACTTTTGCCATCTCTGCATTTCATCAGCAAGATCCTGAGATAACAGAACCAGCATTTTCACTGTAGGCATTTGCTTTTTTGTCAAATTAATTTTAAAAATGTACAATGATGTAAACTAGTTTAATTAGTCTAAATGATATTTTCCCAAACTCTGGGTCAGCTGCCTTCAACCCTGGTCCTTAGGACCCCCTATCTCTCATGTTTAAGGTCATCCGTGCCTCCACAGACATGACTTTAAAGGAAATGTCCAATCAAGATTTAAACTTCTGAAATTAATTTAAATATAAAATTATTACACACCGATCAATAAATTATAAGTTTTTAATTAAGATTAATTTACATTTGAATGTGTTTTACTGAAAACATTCATGTTTCTCAAAGAACACTACTGCCACCTACTGGTTTGTGACGTCACGGTGCGGTATCGGCTGTTGATCAAGTCCCAGTGCTGTATCTGGTGTTTGTCACAACGCGTTATTATCCAAGTCATCTTGAAAACATTCTTCTTCCAAATGTTGGCTACATATTACGGGTTTTTTCTCTGGCCAGAAGTTCGATGGCAAATCCTCCCTCTTCAACTTGGCAATCCAACGACCAACCCGTCCGTGGAGGATCAGGAATCGGGAAAGTGAAATAACTTTTTTTTCTTTTATCCAATGTATTCCAGCATCCAGCTGCCATGCACGTGGGCATTGTCAGTTTCACTATAGCTCTGGTGAATTTCAATGGTGAAGTCCTCTGGAAATCTTCAATAATTGTTGTTGATTGCAGATGTGTCTAGTAGTTCCCATTGATTTGGCTTACCGCACCGTGACGTCACTCCTGGAAGATGGCAGGAGGGAGGGGCTACTATATTTGGGCAAAAATGGCCGCTCCCAGACTCAGTGATCACAAAGTAAACTGTTATTTAATTTCTTTTAACTGATTAATTCTAACGTATTTAAATTTTGAGTATAAATAGTGATCCATTGATTATTCCTTGCTGACCAGACTTTTCCTTTAACCCTGGTCCTTAGGACCCCCTGTCTCTCATCTTTGAGGTCATCTCTCCTCACCTAACCCTAACCCTGCCACTACAGACCTGACTTTAATAAATGGGTGAGGAAGTAATTCCATAGTTTTATTCTGGCACATTAGAGCAGAGACATATTTGAAACATGGCAGGTATTGGGTCTAAAGGAAGAGGATTATAGCCCAAATTTCTGGGGAATAACCATTACATTTGGGAGATGATCATTTGTTCACCCATGGGCACCTATCTTTTAAGCTCTCCTGTGGATTTCATTTTTACTCAGTCTCTGTATTATTGCATAAATATACTGCCTTAAGAGAGAGAAAGGTGGACTAAAGGGCTTTTGATCTTGTTTTGGGTTTTTATGATTTCATAGGTGAGGCATCAATCCACTCTAGGAAAAATGGTTCTAGATTGTTAAATAAACTGGTGCTCTAACTGTGATTTAAAGACTGGAAGCATTTAAAATGACTTTGTGACCTTTTACAGACAAATAAATGTAAATCAGTTTCTAAGATTGGGTTATAAAGTGTAGCTTTATGCTAATTTAGCTTAATTTATGTTGTCAAAGAAGATGGATTTAAGCGAATCCTTTACAATCAGAGTCGGATTAAATTAAAATCTATTTAAATTGCATTTTACATTTACTTGAGTGATCTTTGTCTAAGATGAAATTTGTTTGCAAAGAGAAAACCATCAAATGTCGAAAAAACACATAAAGAAATATGTGATGAAATGACTTTTCACTCCAGAAAAACAAGCTCCGTAATATAAACACAAACAATTTTCCCGAAAAAATGACACTTTGCTGTCATTTTTTCATGAAGCATATTTAGAAGGTGGATATTCAATATGTGTTTATATTTCATATTGCAAAGAGTAGAGTGTAGGTGTTACCCCCACTTAAAAATCCTAATTAGATAACTACTACAAACATTTATCCAAATGTGTAATTATTATTTATTTGGCAGTCTTTGTGTCTTTTTTTTTTCAATTAAAAAAATTATGACAAACAAACTTACGATCAAACATGTTTGCACTGAACGATAATGCCTAAAAGTTTCATAATAAATAATAATAGTTTTTATACGTTAGTTCTACCTATAGAAAGCAGATGTATTCCACCAATAGCATCGTTGGAGTACAATTCCTTCCATTGACAGAAAGCTATTTAGCAACCGGCTTCCAAAACTTTTGCTGTAAACAGAAGTTTAAGTTCCATTTTGAAATCTGACAGCAGAAGTATGACAGTGGAGCTGTGTATAAAGCATTCCCTTTCCAAACACCTCACCAGGGAGTTGTTTACTTTTTCTGTCTGGACTCGCTATACTGGCTCTAAAGCTCATCATCTGGTCTGTGGGCCAGCTGCAGCTGTGGATGCTGACATTAGCATTGCGAAAGCTTGTCCTTACCATAATAAAGGGAGAGGTAGATGGTCATGGGACCTTAAGGACCCACCATCTACGGTTTGAGAAACCCTCTGATATGACCTGGTGCTTGTATATGAGGAGCTCTCAATGTCATTAAAAGTATATTTTAATTGCATTTTAAAATAAACATAAAGCTCTTGCAGCTTCAGACCTGAATTCGAATCCAGGCTTGATTCAGATCTGAATCCAGGCTTATACACTGCAAAAAATGTAAATCTAAATATTTTCCTAAAATAAGTGCATTTTTTCTTGAACTGAGGTTGTAATTGAGACACTTTGCCAATGGAACGAGAGAATTTACATTTGAAATTAGAAAAAAATATTGCATTGTCTTATTTCAAGTGCATATCATCTAATTATCTTATTTTCAGAGTAAAAATACTCATTCCATTGGCAAATAATTTTATTTACCTACTCAAATTAAGGGCAAATACACTAACTTTAAGACATTATTGTTTATATCTGGATTGTTTTTGCAGTGTAGAGTTTGGTCAAAAGCCTGGCAACAATATTTTGAACAACTTTTAGGTAAGACATGTATAATTCACTGCATAAATCCATTCATGCTGAAACAAAAGCATATTATTTCAAATTATTTTTTTTTACATGTTAAAATGTAGATAATTAATTCATAGAAATTAGCTCGTTAAAGTCCCAGCCCTATTTTAGAATGTTTCTCATGGGTGAACTTTACTTTTAAACAGGCTCCTCAGAGCTTTGTTAGCTTGACTACGTCCCAAGTGCTTCATTTTTGTAATCTAGCCAAGACAAAAATCTGCTTGTAACTACTCTATATGATCCAGTTTATCCACATCATTCCTTTTTGGTGCCCAGCGGATTAAGACACAAGCTGAAGTATAAATATTACTTACTCTCAACAGTCAGGGTGATAGGTTGGCTGGTCTTGTTCTCTCCATTTATGTCATTTACTGCTTGTACGTAGTACCGCCCAGCGTCTGGTGCCACCGAAGACAAGATAACCAATGTGTTGTCCAAAGTAATTGCACTGAAAAGAAAAGAAAACAATGAGGATTAAGTGCATAAAACGTAAATAAAAAGGCCAAGATACACACTGATACATTTAAAACACGAGATCTGAGTTCCAACATAGTTTTCTTTAAAAGAATATGCAGTTGGCATCTTCAGAGGCTGCGTTGTCTAATTAAGGCTAAATGTGTTTGAAGTGTATTTGGTCCACAGTTGATCCCACTGCTGAATGGAACATCAAACATTTTACCATTTAATTACACTGTTCAAACAGCGTTAAGTCGATTGATTTACAATGTGTAAACAATGTTTAAGTGCTGAACGAGCATAGGAGAAATATCGACATCCTCTCCTTACTCAAATATGATGTCCTTGCATAATAAGCCAAAGCAATTAATTGGATGTTTGTACCTCACCGCTTCCTATGACCTGTTTCCTGGCAGGTAGCCACTTTTGGAGACAATAACATTATGTATACTGGGTGCTTAAGTCCTAATAAATAAACACTGATTCAACCTTCAGCAACTTGTCTTATAGACCAAACATCTAGTTTGTTCCTGACGTCTTCAGGCACTCCTTTTTACCCTCCGTGAACATAGAAGCCAGTAAAGATAAAATCCTTCTTCCTGCTCCATGATGTTCTGGTCCCCTGACCATGTTTGCAATCAATACTCTTTTATTATCTGAACTTGTTCTGCACAGCATGATACCACGTTTCAGCTGGATGCCTGCCTCCTCATGTCTGTCCTCTGCTTTTCTTTTTCTCTGCTCTTTTTTCTTATCTTATATTCATTTCTAGATTTATTTTTACCAATATTCACCTTTGTAATAGACCCTGACTTAACATACACAGCAAATAACCACATAATTCTATAAAAACCCTTAAAAAAACAATAGATATACACATATATTTTGTTCCAACTGCTCTGATCCGTCATGGCACTTGAACCTTTGTTGGATAAAGAAATGTGAGCCACAGAGGAAAACAACTGACAAAAAAGAAAATACACACGTTTGTGCAGCGTTTTTTAGAACTACCAAAGAGGAAAATTTAATTTCCACCCTAAAGCACTTCCTACTAAAGAAATGCATGAAAGAAATTGCTGGTAATGATAAGATGCAGGTGCTTATAGACCTAAGTGCTTGTTTTAAACAGCAGCATAAAAAAAAGTTCCTGTTTTTTTGTTGTACGTTCTGTTTTGTGGAAGCACTGCAGTGCAAAATCTAGACAATCCATAGAGTTTTAACATTTTTCAAAGATTGTAAAGACAATTATGTTAAATGGCTTACTATTAGTTTTGATCAGGGCTTGTCATTTACATCCAATATCAAACTAGTTTCTAGAATGTAATTATTTAATCTCTGGAATAATGCAATGATTAAAAATATCCTGTCCAGGATTGATGCTTAGAAACTATTCCATTCATTTTGCTACTTTAAGGCTGGACTATTTTAATTCTTTACAATCTGGAAGTCCACAAACTGTAGTTAAAAGCCTTCTGTTGAGTTTTTATGAAAATTAAAAGGAGAGATCATATTTCTGATATCCTAGCTTCTCCTCATTGGCTTCCTATTAAATCTAGAATATAATTTAAAACCCTCTTCCTCACATATAAAGCCTTAAATGGCCAAGCTCCATTTTATATCAGAGATATGATTCATCTTTATGTCCCTAACAGAGCACTTCCCTCTCAATCCCATTCTACTTTAGAAATTTAGTTCCTAGAATTTCTAAGGCAGAAAGTAGAATCTCCTGTGGAACCAACTTCGTTTGACTGGGAAG